CATGGCGCTAGCGGCGCTAACCTACATTCTCTAAACTCCTTCCTTTTTCCCTTACCTTTTGGCGGCCTATCGCATTCCGCTTCCCCTTGCTGCATCCTTGATGCAGGGAGGGAAGGCAGGGGCCGCTACAGCAACCTACCGGGCCCTGCGCCCCTCCGCTCCCCGCGGCAGGGTCGACGGAACCGGGGGTATACTTAGTTTCAGGTCCGCAGGGGAGCAGTGCGGTGTAGGCATGTCTCTGACCATCCCCCACTGTGACCCCCTTCTTTTCATTTTCTTCTTCTTCCTCTACTTCTTCTTGTTTTTCTTCCTCTTCTCGCCTCTCATGAGGCAGCGTGCCTGAAGGGCCGCCGGGTTGGGGGGTCCCGACATACCCCCCAATTACTTATCAATCATGGGCTGGTCTAAATTAATCGTTACCTGCGGCGGGTCGGTAACGTCGCGCCGGCATGGGGGGGTTGTGGTCCCAGGCCCCCCCAGGTCGTCATCGAGTGATGGGCCACGGGATGACTTCCAAGCCGGCGCGTCTGGGGCGGGCGCGCCGGTGGCTAGGGCTACCGCCGTGGAAGATTCGCCTCAAGGTCGCAGCCTTCGTGCTGTCTCGGTTAGGCTGGTTAGGTGCAACGAAATGCCCACGCCGGGTCGAGTGAGGCAAAGTACAGGAAGAATCGGTATAGGGTCCGCGTCCACGTCCGCGCCCGCGTCCGCGACCGCGAATTGTGATCGCTCGCTCGCAATATCCCCTGAAATAGCTTCGGTCGTTTCCTCTCCATTGGAAAGGTCCACGGGTATTAGGGTTATGCAGCTGAACATGAGGCGTTCAGCTGTGGTTAGTGGCGAAGTCCGTCAGCTCGTAGCCGAGAAGCGGCTGGACGTCCTGCTCTTGCAGGAAATGCACGTCCGGAAGCAAGGCTCGAGCTTCGCCATTCTCGGTTTAGGGCAGGGAACGAGGGTGGCCGCTGCACGCTCGGAACGTCCGTGGGCTGCAGTGGCAGTTTCAAACCCCTCGTTCCATATCATGGAGATCTCGCAGCTCAGCACCGCGCACTGTGCGTGCGCGGAAGTGCGGGCGCCCGGCTTCTCTTTCTACGTCGCATCGTGCTACTTCCAGTACAGCGACGAGATTGAGGGGCACCTCAGACACCTCGAGGCGGTGTTTCATTCGCTGAGGGGGAAGAGATTGTTGGTAGGGATGGACGCCAACGCGCGATCCCCGATGTGGGGTGACAGCTTGGTGAACGATAGGGGTGCGAAGCTCAAGGAATTCATCCGCGCTTGCGGATGGAAGATCCTCAACGCTCCCGGACAGTCGCCGACTTACTGGACGTCATGGGGATCGTCACATATTGACGTGACCCTGGCGACTCCGGCCATGAGCCAATTCTTCGGCGAATGGAAGGTCAGGTGCGACTGGACGACGAGCGACCACAGTGCCCTGGACATCCGTCTGAGGGTGCCGAGAGTCAGAGGCAATGACCGGCCTACCTCCAGCTCTCGGTTCGACGCGAGTCGTGCCGACTGGGAGAAGTACGCCGATAGCCTCATCGACCTTTCCGCGTCGAGACTCGAGGTCCTCAGTTTGGAGTCCGCTGGGGGGGTGGAGGGCTTCGCGAAGTCCATTTCTCAAGTTTTGGTCGAAGCCTCGGAACGGGCAATGCCCAGGAAGAGGCGTTTTAGAAAGTCCAACCCGTGGTGGACAAGACAGTTGACGATCCTGAAGAAGGACGTCTATAGGGCGCGGCGTGCCTTCCAGCGGGAAAACGCTAAGCCGCTCCGTGCCTCCGGCCGAAGTGCCTACCTCTTTTCGCTGAGGAGGTACACGAGGGAGGTGCGGAAGGCGAAGCGCGACAGCTGGCGGAGATTCGTGACGGAGGTGGGAAACTCGGAGCCATGGGGATTCGTGTACAAACGCGAGGCCCGGAAGCTCCGAGTGGACGAAGTGCTCAGCAGCCTCCGCCGCGATGATGGCTCCTCGACCACCACTATAAAGGAGACCGCCAGGCACCTGCTGGAGGTGCACGTCCCTGATGACCGGGCGAACGACGACACGCCGATGCAGCGTGAAATCAGGGGAAGCGCGTTCAACGCGCCCGACGGAGACGATGCCCCGCTCTTCACGGAGGCAGAAATCGTCGCCGTCGCGAAAACCCTGAAAGTCAGGAAGGCGCCTGGCCTGGACCTCGTTGAGGTTGCAGCGCTAAAGGCCGCCATTAAGGTAATCCCCGGTCAGTTTGTTAGGCTTTTCAACGGGTGCCTTCAATGGAGCGTCTTTCCCTCGATCTGTAAGGAGGGCTCACTTACAGTCTTCCTGAAGGA